ATAAAAAAGCTAAATTTTACAGACTTAATTATCTGATAGGCACAAGCAAGAATTTTACAGGCACGTACATGTACAGTTCCAAACATTCTCTTGCTACAATACTTACTGTATGTCACATAATTTATAAGATATTTGCAAAAGACGTTAGGGCCTAAAAGAAGTTTAAAAGTGATATCTCAGTTGCTTGGCAACCATGGATAGACAATCTGTGTCTAGTTTCAAAGCTTTTTTTCTACATTTGTTTCAATCACAATGCACAGTCCTGTGTGTGCATGTCTACTTTACATGTATATTTGCTTCATCAAAATTTATCAACCTGCTGTTCAATGACTCACTTTGCAAGGTTTGGGTGTTTCCACATTCACTGTTCATTAGCTGTGTCCTTAGGAACGTTAAACAAAGGCTACAAGTCCAACACATGGACATTTGTCACATCTGTCTATTGATCCATCTACCGTACATGTACTGTTGGGCTGCTTCTGTACACATTACATGGATCAGCAGCTGTCCGAAATTTCATTTGCTATCAGTGAATGGTCATGATTTCCTCGATTGAAAATATGGTGGTGAAGACAGTAAAAGCATAATATTGTACTTAGTCCATTATCTCTGTATTTAGCAGTTTTTAGAACTGGCAGTTATTCTACAGCTTAAATACTAAGAGACAACTTCAATTGGAAAAATCTGCAAATTCTGTGAATGCACATGTGAAATGCAGACATTGAATAAAGACACAAAAATAATGTAGAACCTCAGCAGAGAATGAAAATAGATTCCATTTAAACACACCATTCGGGGTACAAGTATTGCCCAAGTGCACATCCAAGGACGAATACATAAATATTAACATAAAGTAAGCCCAAGGAGGGCACAGTGGTGCAAATTATTGAATGTGTGAGGGTCTTTTTACGTCCACATCCTAATATGCACATGTAACAAATCTAACGAAAGCAATTTAGACTCATTTGCTGGTCGTTTCTGCAGTTCTGGACATCTTGCTTCCAACTCCTTGCCCCCCCCCCAAAAAAATCATGCTTGGCACACAGCTGCACCTACGCATGTAGGTGTACTTTGAACTGAATTTAAATCATCAAGAAAAAAATTAAAAATTCAGACAGTAACTACACACCTTCCAATGACTAAAATTATTACGTGTCCGGTATGTTCTGTTCCTCATTCTGTGAGTATACCAGGATGGGCATGTCCACCTCATGACAGAACTGCCCAGCAGGAAAATGGTACTAGTACCAACAGACACGCATAAATTTGTTTTTCTTAACAGTTTGTAAATATGTCCTGCACATGAGCAAACACTGCTGACATTTTTTTTAAAGCTCATATACATGTAACCACTTGTGAAAAATATATACCGGTACATGTAGTCAGTACATGTACAGGTACACATATGGTACACATACGTGTACATGGTATACCAAACACTAGTCAGGATGTTGCAATGCGCATGTAATGCTGTTCAACATTACATGTCGAACACATACATGTACCGGTACCTGTACACACATACATGTACATGTCTGCAAATATCTCCTTACGACCACCATGAAAATGGACAGGTCTGTAAGAGATGTTATCATTTCTCTTTGAAGTGATTCAAAGTAAATAACCCATGGATAATATTTATGGATCTCCCTTTACACAGAGGAAATTCAGTATATGAATCTGAACCCCCATATTGATATGAGTACACTTCCAGTATTCCAAGAATTTTTATAGTTCATGTACATGTACATGGTGTTTCCTTCCTGTCTGCTTAAACCCTATACCGGTAGGTACATCATCGAAGTGTATGTTTGTTCACACTAGATGAACCATGGAATGTACAAAGTTGGGGGGGGGGTTTAATTCACAAGATATTCTGCCAAACTATGAAATTTCTGTGTTCTGGCAGAAAATGGCAATTCATAATCAAGTAATCAAGTACTGTAGTCACAACCATGATACAATAAAACAAATCAGCTGGTATGCTGTACACCCAGACACTGAGGAATTTGTAATATTTCCAATACACTATGCAACAGGTAGGCCCAGTACCATGTAAAAGTACCTGGATTGTGCACACACCTGGACCAATACACCTACACAATGAGCTCACAGTGTGAAGTGCAGTTACCAAACTCCCAGCAGGTTATTTTATCTATACAGGAGGGGGGGTGAAAAATGCCTTTACCTTGACCAGACAGAAGGTGCCTAGACTTTGTAAAATTTAATTGCCACAATACACTCAAATCCAAGAGGACTAACAGAGCCAGGGCAAGTGCCATTACAACAATACAATTCTAGTACCGCCTGAAATTCATGAAAGCACATACAATATTCAAGTAACAAAATGGACTAATGAAATCGATCACTCGTTTGGAGTCTGGAAATTACTGAGATCAGTGCAAGAAAAATTACAACAGAATACAGCCAAATATGAATAGAAACGTTTAAAAGCCAAGTATGAACGACATGCATAACATGGATTCTACACAAGTTGACCAGTTTAATATTCTCCCCTACATGCACATACATGTACCATACATGTACATCATCACCCATAACCCATGATTGCCATAAAAAACAAAAAAAAGATAAAATTGGGTCCAAAAAGGAAGTTTTTCCCAGTAAATTGCACACATTTTCTGATGAACCTACATGTATAACAAAAGCTGCATGAAACTGTATATTTGGACAATGGGGCAATACCAGACCCAATGATGCTGTAACTGTGAACAGTGGTACAGGTGTACTGCTGGGCCATTCAACCCTTCCAATTGTCCTGTCCAGTTCATTCCATTGTTATCCTCAGTTTATACAGCTAAACAGGCAAGTGGCGCATTGAACAACCTCAGCCATTTAAACATCACTCAAGCATTAAATCTGTACCTGTTGTACTGTACCAACTCTTTTCAGAGCGAGAGCATGGCCTATCATCTTGTTCACACCTCAGTAGATGGCATTAATAAGCACCATAAAGGGCTCAGTTGCTTAGGTTTCAAGTGTGATTCTCAGCATTGGTCCGCTTGGAGGACACTCTTGCAAATGGCATATTATATCTCTTGTTCATTTTCTACTTTTTGCAGGCATCAACAATTTGGTTTTCCCAATGAAGTCTTAAATATTTTGATCCAAAATCATCTGCTCACAATTAAACTCTAAAAAATGTTTCCTACTCAGACAATAACAGACACTACGAGCCTGCATACATCATTAACTGAGCTGTAGAATGTCAGGTTCTACTGGTACATGTATGAGCCTATATTGAGAAAAAGTCCTCCCAAGTCATGTTAGTGGCTTAACTGAACAAGAAATAACTCTGTGAAATCAAGCTTGTAAACATGGATCCAGACAAAAATAGAGAGGCACCACCAGCATTTGACCTCCTCTCACAATTTGGTGCAGTGCCACCATTTTTGTTGCTATGGCAACTAGTATGACCCATAATTCTCCAAGTGGTCAAGGCTGTGAATATTATTTAGCCGCACTGTTGGAGCAATACATACCATATAAATTGAAGTAATCAATTTATTCTCATTTTCAAGATGTGGCCGTTAGCAGCACATCAAAAGCACTGCATGCAAATTTCTAATCCCTGTACCACATGTACGTACACAATACAGGCAGCTGGTGCAGAACAGTAACTGGGAACACTGTACCACTACATAATTTATTCAATCTATTCAGACAGAAATGCTCTACGAACTACTAAGTATAAGAAGTTTAAGTTAACACATTTTCAGTGCATATCAATTTATTGCGCACAGAGTGCTATATTGAAATTGTTTGTACAGGATTGTACAAATGCAGCAAAAGGATATACATGTACATGCCGATACAGAACAGACCCAAAAATCTACAAGGCCATGCAGGTTTATGTACATGTAAGTGGGCTTTTGCCAGTAAGCTTATGATAATCAGCAGATTGAGACCATTTGGTTACACTTTTTATCGTCAACCCCCCTCCCCCCCAAAAAAATCATGGTTGCAGAGAAAGCAAGCTATTGTTGTTTAATCAATGGTAACCATATTAACTGCAGCCCACAACAGGCAGTATGGGGCTCAATATGCTGTAATGCCTCAGGGTTGAATGTTTCTGCATGATCCTTTTCAACTCAAATTTCTATTTTCCTACTAGTATAACTGCAAGAACCTGTTCCCAAACAACTTTGAAACACAGATACTCCTATTAAAATTGTCATACTTGAGCTAATGTGATTGCTAGCCCTTGTCATACACAAGGCTTATCATTTGTCACTGTTTGATTCCAACTTGTATATGTCACGTACATGATGACCAAAATGAGCCCAAGATCTCAATACCTTCTTCATACCCCCAGAACTGTGGTTCTGGTCTCCCACGCAGTGGACAACAAACCAAACAGTTCTGGGGGTACCTTCTTCACCATCTTGTCACTGCAAGGCTCTAAACTGTCAACCAAATGGATTACTGGAGTTAAAATGAATTTCTTTTTCTCACAATTTCTCTAACGGTAAATTCAAATGCACATTGACGCTGGAATATTCATTATGAAAATAAACTGATTGTTTTCCTCCTTTTACTTAAAAGAATAGGCCTAGCCCTAGTCATGCTGATGACATACATGTACGTCAAGACAAGAATCAAGATGTCAATGTAATCTCAAAGCAAGACATAAATGTATTTATCACGCACACACGTACACATGTTCAGTAATTAATAATGCAGGCATTTTTCAATCCTATATTGTGGGCGTGATACACGATGGAGCACGTGAACACATGAGTACTAACACTAGGCTCGACTGAATGGATTGTGTTTTGACAGTGTCAACATGAACACGTTGTACATCTATGTGTCATGTGTGTGGCCGGTCCTTAATCTATCGCTTGCAAATATACCCTTGTGCGGGCCTAAACTCTACCAAACGCTACTGTTAGGTTATTGAACAGGTCTGCGAAAATAACTTACCCATTGATCTAAAACTGGCCTCCATAAGGATGGAATTTGTTTAAAATACTTACCAAGTCCACTGCAATTTCCAGAATTGCCACCGTCGTCCATGATTTGTGCGTCTCGCTAAGGATGCTGGGATATAAAACTAAAAGTGTCGTCTGCAATATTTTTGTGAGCCTGAAGTGTGTGTCACCGATTGCAAGTTGATCAAAATATTATTCATCACACCGTGTCGTACCGTTTGTAACGGTTTGTATCACTCAAAGTCGGCATTGTTATTATTCATTTTAACGAGGGTATTCAAATTAATTACTTATTGATCATTTATGCGTCAACCAAAGCAGGCGACCAAAACAGTACTGGGCCTGACATGCTTTTGTAGCTTGTGTTAAAAGCCGCGATTCATACAAGAAGGTCGGAAATGTATTATACGAGCACAACGCTCACCTCACCCACGGGGACACGACAAGGAAATGCCCTCAATAATCGCCTTTTTATTTACCTTTACAAGTGCTGTCTACATATTTGCTTTGGATTTCTGTATATATTTTGTTCCTTTGTGCGGGGTTTGTTTACAGTAGCTTTTTAACCGATGGACCCGTCGTTTTCCTTGTTCTGCATGTTCTGGTAGGCCCACCACCACGCGTACGACCACCACGTCATTGCCCCAGCAGAAATGTTTTCCAGAGTAAACGTTGTGTAATTAAATCTCCCCTCAAGACTACATGTAGCAATTATTGCCGATGGTGTACTCTGCTGAAAAGTCCATAAACAACTTTTATTTTTAAAGAGGCTGTTTTCAGAAAAATTTGGAGTAAGAGCCTATAAAAATTAAGATTTATTTTTTGGAGGGGGAGATTTTTGGATATTCAGATAAAATTGAAACAAAATTTTGCGGGCTACACATGTAACTCTTATGAAACTTCTGCCCAGAAAATAATCAAGTTTGGAGCGCAGGACCGATTAGTTGGAGGTGGAGGTGGGGTTGACAGAACTCGGAAAAATTTAACTTCCTTACCCTGCCCCAGTTCCATGCAGAATCAGTACCGTGACTACTAGGGTCACAACCCCCCCCACCACCACCAAGCACTGGGAATTCTTTGTCCCTCGCTGCCAAATTGTGAATTTGTAAAATCCACCCCAGCTATGCCACTTCCTTCAGACAAATAAACAACTGTTCAGGAGACATTTTCAGAGACGCCAGCTTCCAGTTTATTGCTGATGCACTACTTATTACACTGTACAATGTACGTGCAAGATTAAGATTTTATAAATGGGTAAAAGCAAATCCCTAAAGCCAGTTTCTGCAAATGAAAAATTAAAGGCAGTGCAATGCCTGACCCCTGGATAGGTGTGAATGGTGTTGTAAATAGAGTAAACCCCAATCATTTCATTTTACCACACGTATGTTCTCACAAACTAGAGACTCTATATCCAAACTTGAAATGCCCTGCAATGTAGAATGGTACTAGCAAAGCGCCCAAAATTCAAACGGCCCAATCCAAAACAAGCCAACGAAACAGACACACAACCCACTTAATCCCCATTCAAATAATAAAACGGAGGTAAAACGGTAGGTCAAGTGTAAATATTTGATAATCTATCTTGAAAATTATGCCCCATTTCAATGAAACATCATGTTGTGCTATACTTTTTTAACAAATGGTTAAAAAGATATGTGGACTAAAAGGCAAAAAAGCTTACAATTTCGCTGCAAATTTTTGTGTTAAGATACAGTGCATAAATGACTTGGGGCATAAGCATCCCATAAAACTTTTACAAAATTAGTCAAAATGTAAACAAAATAATAAATAAAAGTTTTCCTTTTTGTCCTAACAAGAAGAAAATTATCCACCTCCCAAGCCTGATTATTCATAGTTATGTTAGGCAAAAGTCACTTTTAAATATTTGGGGAGAACTAGGAGTCCATCACTCTCAGCCATGGCCCACCACAACTTTGGAAAAATCATATCTTTTTGGCACACAGTCTAATAACACGGACCACCGAGGTCAAGGTACCTTATTGAAGTGTCATTTTATAAAGGCAGCCGTTTTTCCCAGATTGTTTTGTTTGCTTGTCCTTTTCCCATTTAGCTTGGCTTTGTCGTGGTGCTTTGTTTTTGCTTTGAATTCCCAAAATGTGTTCATAAAGTAGCACTGAAGAAAACCCACAGTCCAAACAGGTCTGTTTTGTGGAAAAACAACGCAAGGACGAGTAATTCAATTCTCTGTTTCTGAGCATAAGTGACCGTACAACAAGCAAAAATTGGAGACTGAATTAAAGTTCAGAATCAATGCAGTACCTGTATTTTTTCCTCATGAGAGCTATAACATTTTTAAAAAGTAAAAAATCATTATTTTTTATTATAAAATGCATAATTTCAGATCCACTGGCATCCAATGTAATAACAAATATTCCTTTCATATTGCCAATTCATATTTTCACCCTGGTCTGGGAAAGAAAGCAATATCAATACAAAAGTACATGTCATGAGCTTTGAAAAATCTGACTAAAATGTACATGCCTAAAGAAAAAAACAATTCCATAAGCATAGGTAGTTACTTTAAATCTTTCCAGTTTTTCCACAAACTCAAGCTGCTGGTTTAACCACAAGAGGGCGACATAACTAACCTGCACAAACCTAAATGTATTGCTATTAATGTTTACTATACCAAATTCTTGGCTGTTTCCCAAGTAAAATAAAACACACTGGTTATTCATTTTCATTGTAAAACTTTTTTTCTCCAAACATATGCATGCACATATCTTGCATTTGAAATGACACATTATATGGGAGACTTTCTAGATGGTGATAAAGATAAGAGTCTTTTTTATTTGAGTCCAAATTTATGCTGATGTGCACACTCAAACTGAAGTAAAGAACAAAAAGGACTGTTTCGCCTTCCACCACTATCTTTCAAATTTCTCCTTTTCTTCCAAAACAAAAAGAAAACATGTTCTTTTATTTAAAAAAATCATCAAAACCATACACCATCCTTCTGCTGTACTGACTAAGGCTGTAAATTCTGAAACTTTAAAGGGGGAATACACTCCAACATCCACGTCTTTCATCAAGACTTTAAGAACTCAGATTTCCCTCTAAATGTCAAGCATTAAATCGCAATGTTTTAACCTGAAAAAAAGAAAATGTAAAAAAACACACAAAGAATGTACGACAACTATACTGCCATTGTAGTTGTAGAGAAAATACGACCAACATTCCAAAAAAATTCCCCAAATCTAGGCTACAATCGGTAATTTTGATTTTTGACAATTTACTGTAAGTTTTCCTCCCCCAAATAGCTTATTACCTTGGTAACTGTTGATATCCTAATTATAAAAGGGTTTCCACTCGCTTTTCAAGAAATACCACAAATGTTACAAATACCTGAAATTTATTAAACTTGTTCAGCAACAAGTAACTTCAATTACTTCACCACTTTATCACATTTGAAAGCAAAATGAAAAAATTAAGGCCTTTAAACAATCATTTCAGGTTTTTCTAGAATTTAAACTGTAACTGAACACAAGCTTTCTTTGAGGGAACCACAGTCACTCCTGATTGCATATCTATGATTATGGAACTTTTACTTTAGGCTCAATCGGCCCAGGAATTCAGCATGGTAGGATCCAAAATAGAGGTGCTCTCCAGTGTCAAGTACACTGCTTACAGAGGGAATATTGCGTCCTGTGGTGTCATGGAGGCTCTCAATGATGTTGCCGTCTTCGTCCAGGGCAATCACGAGGCTATGCTTTGGTACAACTTTTACAATCCACTCCGGGCTTATAAACTGTGATAAGTATGAGAAGTAGATTTAAATATAAGAATCAGTTTAACAACTTTGAGAAATAGGTAGCAGCACAATCCCAGCAAGTTTTTTTTGGGGGGGTCTTGTGTGCGTATGAGTTTGTTTCTGCATTCAATTGGGGTCCTTGAACAATAGAGGACAATAAGGTCCCCAATTGACAGAGGGTCCCCGATGGACAACTGTGTACAAAACATATGGGTGGTCTTCTAAAAAACGTTAAAGTACAAACAAAAGAGGAACAATAGTGGGTCCCCAGTTGCAGGCAAATACACACGTGTGTGTGTGTGCAAGTGTGGCATCCACGGTGTGGACCTCCACACAAGACAAGTCCACATAATGAAAAGAATGTTTTGTAGACTCATGTCCACACAAGTGTTTTCCCCTCTCTGAAAAACAGCTTCAGAGACATTTGGGAATCAGGGTTATCTCAGGCAAAATGAAGAGGCACTCATCTGTAAAGCCAATTAATTATTTTTTTTGAATGCACTTTTTCAAACTTCCATCAGTACTATGTTATTAGAACTGATTTTGCTGATTTTGTTTCAAACGATGGTGAAGAACATTGCACAATGTACATGCAACAATACTCTTTAAGGGTCCATGTGATGGATTTTTAGAGACACCTTTTTTGTGCATCTTTGGAGTCTTCCTCAATGTATGAAAACTATTTGACATGCTTTTGGGATTAAGTGTATTGAAAAGATCACTTGTATAATAAATACACGGGTCTAAGCATTTGTAGACAACTGAGGGAGCTGTTGCCAAGGTGTCAATCAGAAAAGACACTGTTCAGTTTCTTAGTGTTACTGCTCAAATTGTAAACCTAATTTTGCAAAGTGAAAATGCTTCTGGAGAAGGCTTATTTATTGCATATTTATTGCCATGTAGCAATGTATCAATAAAGAAATAAACCTCTAGGATGGCAACATAAAAAGAAAAAAATCCAGCATTTGTGTATGCACAAATCAATGCAACATTGGGATTGTACTCCCTAGGATGACATCACAGTTATGTTCATAAATATGGAGATTTACATTAGCACGAAAAATACCAAAATACCCTTTGAAATACCAAACAAATAACTCAAATAATGTCAACTGAAACACGTAATATGCATTCTCTTGGGATGTAGTAAAACAATTGCATTGCCTGGA